CTCCTCCTCACCCCCAGACCCCCGATCCGCCCTCTTGGCCCAAGCAACATGGTTAATCTCGTAAATCCCATGCGCTCCATCCTGAACACCAACAAGCACCCACTCCGTCTGCAGCACATCACCAGACGTAGTATTCATAGCATCTGAATCAGCCTGCTGCTCCTGCTCTAGTGTAACAAACCGCTCTTCATAAATTGCAATCCGCCCATCTGCACTAGTCGAAGCAACAAGCCCAGTCCTCTTACTCCACGCAACAGCATAAACAGGCAGTTCATGTGCATGCGGGAGCACAGCATCCTCCTCCCAAACCTCATCCGTCCCAGTAGGCCGGATGATACTCGGGATACCCGTCGCCGCAGAAGACAGTGCCCCCGTCTGTTGCGATTCCTTCGGCAGGCGTCGCCACACGCGTACGGTGCGGTCGTCCGAGCAGGAGAGGAGGCGCGGGCCGGAAAGCGCTCTCTGGGAACGCCACTGAGTTTGTAAAGCGCTCAGCTCAGACTCGGAAACGGATTCAGAGTTAGGCCCATTCCATTTCTCCTCTGCTTCTTCCCCCTCCCAATCCAAAAACCAAACTGTCCCCTCATGGCCCTTGATACATGCTACCTGGCCCCAATCATCCAGATCCTCCCGCCACAGCCGGATGGTATCGTCGTAGCTCCCGCTAGCAAGACATTCCTCTGAAGGATGCCATGAAACACACTTCACATCGCCCCCGTGCTCCTGCATCACAGCAACGGTCTCGAAGTTGTTGTCGCCATCGTCCAGATCCTCCCAGATCCAGATTGACTTGTCGCGTGAGCATGTCGCCAGCAGCATCCCTGACGCAGACCATGATACGGACTTGACTTCGCTGTCGTGACCATCGAGAAGGACTGCGAACCGCCATTCTTCTTCGTCTTCTTCGCGGCCTGCGGTATCGGTATCGGTACCGTTGGGAGCTTCCGTCAAAGTATCGGTTGGGATCTGTTTATCGTCACTGTTCATCCCAAGCCCGACACCGTCTTCCTGTCCGTAACTATCCCACCGCCGCCAGATGCCAACTGTTGCGTCGAAACTGCCTGTCGCGAGGACGGACTCCCCCGCCATGTTTGGCTTCCATGCTGCTGTGCGGACGGAGCGCTTGTGGCCACCGGTGATTGTGGAAAGGAGGGTGAAATTTGTGAGGGAGTAGACTCGGATGGTCTTGTCTGAACTGCAGGTTGCGACTATGGGGAGGGTGGGGTGCGGGGCTGTGAGCCAGGTTCGTTCTTGAGAAGGGGGTGTTAGGTCGGATAGGTGTGTTATTGTGACTTTTGGAGACATTTTGATTTATATTTTCCCGTTGAGGATTGAAGGTATTGGAGAGATTGGAGGGAAAGGGAATGGAGGGATGTTGTCGTGAGGTTGGAATTTTGATGTGGGGGGTTGCTGATTAGATAGTGACTTTCCAAGTTTATATTGGAGATATTTTATAGATTGAACACTTCAGGCTTGGGATATTCTACATTACTATCCATGATACGGTATAGAAATAATTATAGAAATCAGGTGTCATTACTCCATACACAAACCCTAGAAACTAGTTGTATACCCTGCCAATCTGCCCTGTCCAAAGTCCAACCTCCAAAGTCCAAAAATGGAAAACAAAAGGACAAAAACAAAAGAAAAAGACAGCATTATATATGCTCCTCTAAAACGCCTTCACTGTGCTGGAACGCCTTCTTCATATAAACCTTCGTATATCACCCCATGGCAAAGCCAATCCACCTCCCGGACCTTCTCTAATTCTTCCACCAACTTCCCAACTTCATTGACAAACTCCGGCATACCTGCTCCAGCTAGATTTTGACTGGCCGTGGTAGTAGCCCGCACCCGTTCAGAGGCACTCGATGCGCTGAGACGCGATAGGACGTGGCTGCGAAGGCGGGAGAGGATGAGTTTCGTCACCGGATCCGAGAAGCTAGCCGCGGAGGTTGTGCTTCCATTCGAGTCTGAGGCAGAGGTCTCTGAAGTCACCACCGCGAGCTGGGGTGCGGCTGCGAGACATGCCGTGGCGACGGGTCCGAGGACTCGTTTGATCGTAGCTGCAAGTTGGGCGCTCGCAGCTGGTGGCATCGGATGCGTTGACTCCAGGATAGACTGTACTCGCTCTGGGCTGATCTCGTTGAAGTCTAGAGACAAGATCCGGTCTGCTTCGGGTTTCCATTGAGACCGTGCGTCTCGCTTGAGTAGGTTCTTAGCCGTCAACAGAATGGAAGCAGTTGCTACAATTTGGAATGCCCTGGCATGCAGCCGTTCAAGTCGTTGGCGATCGAGGCTCAGAGTCTCTGGAACTAGATCCTCGGACACGATCGCATTGCTTAGCACGGTGTCGGCAAGGCCTTGGGCGTAGACTCGTGCTGATGGTGGGTGTGGTTCCCCTTGGACACCTTCCGGGTCTCGCTTCTTCATCTCATCAACGATGATCTTATGATGAATGCGCCAAAATCGTCGGGTCTTGCCCAGGCCGATGGTTCCGTCTGTAACGTCTCGGTCGAATGCCCGCTTCTCATAACCCGGAGCTTCTTCGATGAGCTGGGGTGCAGCAAGCTGGATCATGAAATTCGTCTGGTCGAGTGATAGCAGGTCAATGATGCTCATCAATCGAGCCAGCCGGTCGATAGCATCGCCTGAAGTATCCTCAATGTATGCCTTGACCACAGGATCCCGGTAAGGAGCACATAGGCGTGGTAAGATGTGGTTCATGAACTCGAAGAAATTATCATAGGAGAATGTGCCAGCCTCGCACTGTCCCTGGACCAGTTTTGGGTCTAAGCCTTCGCTGATTATCACGTAAAGGGAATTGCCCCGTTGGAGTGAGCGCAGCAAGCGATCTTGGATCACTGTGGCCATTGCGACAGTCCAGTTGGTGCCGTGTCCAGCTTCGACCCCTTTTCTCATTGTGTCGCACATCTGCTTCATAATCTGTCTGCGCGGTTCAGTGTACGGTGCTTCCTCGATCTTGAACTCTTTGTTGATGAGGAGTTCATGCACCAGCTCCCGATTTTCAGGGAGAGGGGTGAGTATTTTGGTGAATCTCTCGTGGGGAGATGTCCGCTGCTTGTCCAGCTCTTGGAATACTGCGGCATCGATGTTGTTGAATGACTCGCTAATGGGGGATGTGACACTCTGCGTAGCTTCCGTGGTTGGAGGAGCAGTCTCAGCAGACCGAGGAATAGCTTGCTTGGAGGAAGCCCTCTTCTTCTCCCGCTTGGCTTTCTTCAATGAATCTCTGATCAGTTCCATGTGCCTATCAGGCCCCGCAAGTCTCTTCAGACGGGCGAGCAAAAGGACCTGGTTTTGTCGGATACCCAGTCTGTAGTCTTCTGCAGCACCGCCAGCTTTGTCATTCTTGACCGTCTGCCAAATCAACTCCAATTCGACAAACTGTGCAACCATGATCTCAATCAGTACACTAGAGTCGTGGGACTTCCAGGCATGGAAAGCAGAGAAAAACACGTTGTGTGATTCACATAAAGTTTGGAGATCCGCAGTGATCACAGATGGAGAGCAACAGCCTGACGATAGCAGCGCCGTGACCTGGTCAAAGGCTACCAGCAGCTCCCGGGCCTTGGCAATCAGATCTTGCTCCTGGTCTCCATTGCTGCTCAAAACTTCTTTTGGATGAGTGACAATGAGATAGCTGCTGAGGAATGTGCGTACTGCACCCTTCTCACCTAACGCGCCGCCTTCCATATCCTGCAGACCACAGAGCCGGAGGACGTTCGTCATAGTATCGAGCAACTTGCCGTTAGAAAGGAGAGCACCAACTTCTTCAAAGGCCATGTCGCGAACTCGGTCTACCGACAGGTTCAACGACTGGAACTGCTGCATAACCGTCTTTGCGTTATGGGTTCTCCATACGCGCTGGATCTTCCGCGCAGCCGCATCCTGCGCAACGGACTTGGTGACCTCTCGGGACATCTTCTTTTCCTCGGTGGCTGGCAAGCTGCTAGTACGTTGGCGGCGGTGGGTTTGCTGGTATAATGTGCGCCGTTTCTCTGCCTCTGCAAACTTCTCTGCCATTTCCAGACGCAAGCGAGCTTGTTCGGCAGCTTTCTTCTCTCGCTGATCCTCGGCTTTCTTCTTGGCGCGTTTGACTTGATCCTCGCACTTGGCGGTGATATCGGCGAGCAGACGCTCCCGGGCCTGCTGGGCAGCCAACGCTCTCTCTTCGAATTGTAGATTTCTTGTAGCTGCTTTAGCCAGAGCGGCTCGCAGCCTCACTTTCTCCGCATGTAATGCACGATCCGCGAGTCGTGCCTTTCGGCTCTCCAAAATGGACGTGCGGCGGAGGTGTTGAGCAATATGATCCGCACTTAACGAGCCATTCGAGGACCCGGTCGAATTATGGGAGTGCAAGGAGGAGACTGAGCTTCGTCGCGATGAGGCGGCGGAGGAACGGCGGGCCTTGCTGCTTTTGCGGTAGAACCGGGCTGCAATGTGTGGTGGGAGACTTAAGGGAAGGGTCGGCTCCTCAGAGAGCATCTCTACGTCGAGATCGCTCAAGGATTCGGGTGAAAGAGGTGTTGGACCAGCATCCGGAAGCTGGATCTCGATGTCGGAATTGCGACGGATCATAGTACGGAGTGACGCGGGTGCGACGCGGAGCTGATAAAGCGAAGGGAGAATCGGCGGGGCAGTACTGATAAGAGATTTGGATGGCGGTTGTTCACAGGGATTTCACTAGGTTATAGAATCCCAGTCGAGTGATCTCAAGTCTTTTAAGAAGAATAAAGGAGCAATTTAGAAAGGTTGAATTCAAGAAGTAAAAGACATGCACATCACTCGGCTGGGGGGGGCGAGGGATCCGTGCCTCGTTCCTCGTTTCAGAATGGGAAATTTAGTAGGGGGAAAAAAAGGAGATCAGATGGATCAAGTGAAGTAGATGAAATCAGCTCAAATAGCTAAATAAGCTAAATAGCTAACCCAAAGCACGACATGATGAAACCAGGAATGTTCCGATGGATCTTCTCGAAATGGAATCTCGTGGCTGCAAGCAGAAGCTGAGGTAAGCGTGATAATAGATAAGCCCGAAGATCGATCTTCCCTATTTATAGCTTCCAAGGTTGTATAATAGATATATGGCACAAAGCACGAAGCACGAGGGACAAACCCCTGCTCTCGCCAACATGGTCATTATTACCCTCGGATACAGTCTGCCTATTCCAATGCGACGTGTCAAGTTCGCCGTTGGATCCATTCTCGGCGATGGTAGCCATATACTGATCAGGGTTGGCCCGTACCTCTTGTAGAGGAACCTTAGGATCGAAGATCGTTATCTGTATCAAATGATTTTCATGTTACTACATGGATTCTTGAGATATTTACTTTACCTTGAGACGCTCTTCCCATGAATGATCTACCATGCAGTACACAATTGGTCTGCATTGTTAGTGTGGATGTGGCTTGGCCACATGGGGCAGAGAGCACGAAAGCTGGAATTGGAGTCACCTGCCATGACTTCGCCCACCCGGGGATCATCAGTCGCAAAGATCAACGGGAGGGTCCCCATTTCATCGTCTGCCTTTTCAGTGATTTCAATCATCGATTCTGAGATCTGATGGCTCGAACGTATCTGGGATTTACAACCTTCTGGTCCGGCTATGGAATTTCCTTCCACAAGTTGCCCTACATCGCCTGGCGCGTCTCCAATATAATGGGGGTCCGGATAATGTCGCGGTTGGGGAATCTGAAGGAACTTTTGAGAAATGTGAAGCCATGGCCATCATGAATAGAGGATAAAACCCCCGGTTGCTCATGTGGAGGATGCGGTTCAAGACCATGCTTTCCAGTGACTGGTGAGGTCATCTGTCTGATTCAATCAGATTGGCGAGTTGGTATAGGCACCGAGACTACAGATGACCAATGAAGAAATTTAGTGTAAGCCAAGTAAGATAGAAAGTTTCAATAAAATTGCTATCGTTGCGTCGTGATATCAGTGTACTTTGAAACCCAAAAAAGAAGTGAGCGCTATGCTGCAGCGAAGCCAGCTGCTTGATGTAAGGAAAACCAACATCCCCGAGGTGCGTTGAGTTGGCCATTGCCTGGTTGACTGTGTGTTGATGTCGAACCATGAATCATCAGATCAAAGGCACCTTTTGTAGTCACCACATGTGTAAGGGTACACAAAATGACGGAGCTATCATCTGAAATTTTGAATCGGCCTAGAAGACCCTTATCTCTTTCCCGGTGCAGGCCAGTCAGGGATAGGCACCGGTATACAGATGCTTCTGAGATCGAACCCCAAGGACCGGGATCGGTAGGATTGTGGTCAAGGGTTGGACAGTGTTCATTGCTCGGTGCGCGGTTTGACCGGGGTTAATTGATGAGTGCAAAGATGGCTGTTGGGTCACATTTCACGGACGATAAATCAACCCACCAGTCATCTGGGCTCACGTGTAAGGATCCGCATCGGCCTCATTGATGGCCGAAAATCTGGATGTGATCTTGATCTTCTTCTTCTTCTTCTTCTTCCTCCTCCTCTTCATCGTCGTCCTCGGTATCATGAGAACCATCCGATTCAGCCGCGTCAGAAGACTCACCGTCTTCTTCATTCCTAGCTTCCAATACGTCTTCAGTTGATTTAGTTTCACCGCCAAACAGTCCATAGCGGTATGTAAGCTTCTTGCTCAAGAAATTCAATGCACCATAGTCCTCATTCTCGCCACGAGATAGACCTCCAAAAAAGGGCATAGACGAAGGTTTCTCTGGTTCACGCTCAGTTGGTAGTCCAAAGTAGTTGCTGACGACGGGCGAGACAGCACGGCCTCGTGTGATGTTATAGGATGATAATCGTCTAGCGGGTTCGGGGGATGTCGGGACGCTGAGCCGTGAATGAGGAATCGATGTGTTATTGACATTTAATGCTGCCATGGAAGACGACATCGAGCCATCATTTTCAATGAGTGAAGATGATCGAGGCCGAGAAAGGAGTTCTCCCCCGGCGTCTTCCTCGGGTTGAGAAGACATATCTCCATGCGAAATGCGAAGTTGGGCCGTATTGTACGACTCACATCTAGATCTTATTAGCAGGTGTTGATCGTCTTTTTCTCTCAAAAAGTACATACAGATCACATCTTAAGCCGAGCCAGTGATACTTGACAACGGACTTCGAACCGCAATCGTTGCAGTAAATAAGGCCTTTGGTATCCTTGAACTCGTCGGGCATAGGCTGGCTCTCGATGGTGCGATCCAGGTTTCGGAATGTCGATTCCATGTTGGTGATGGTCTTGCTACAAAGGGGACATCGGTAAGAACTTTTGGAGTACTCCGAGAGACACTTGTGGTGAATACTGTGGCCACATCGCATGACGACGACAGTTTCTGGAGAAGTGAACATGTAGTCGCCACATATGGGACAGTCACACTGGGTGGAGCGTTCAATGCAACGATGAGTGTTTTCAATGCACATAGGAAGGCAAACAGAGCATGTCTATAATGTTGTCAGTACCAGCATCGTCTAAGCTATATCGGAGCCCTTACCTGGCAATGGAAGAAATCCTTCCCCAGTCCCTGTCCAATTCGACATATACCGCAGTCGCTGCAATGATAGATGCTCTTTTTGCTGTCGTTATCCCAGAGCTTGCAAATCTCGCAATAATATTGTGCAGTTTGCTCGTTGCACTGTCTGCAGTTCTGCGCTGCAGGCTGTGCATGCCCACATAGCATACAAAGCATGTTCTCGGTGTCTCGACGAATGAGTGAGTGGTCTTCCACTTCGTCATGGCAGAAGCGGCAGGTATACCATTTTTTGCAAGTGTGGCACTCAAGTTTTACATTACGCTGATAGTGCACACATCCCAAAGGAATCCCTTCTTGTTCTTCCGTGTCACCGTCTTCGTCCCCAGTTTCAAGTTCTGGTTGTTCTGTTTCTGCCTTGGGCACGAAAGTGGGCTGCAGGTCTTCAGGTGTGAGATTGAAGGTGCTCTCGTACAGAGGAGCTGATTCGGAGTATGGTGAGCATGGTCTAGAAGCATTGATCTCCGAGGCCCGGGGAACCTCTGGGTTTGTTGGCAGCCCCAAGCTCCGTAGACTCGATGTAGTTGAGAATACCCTCATGCCAGGGGTACTTGGAAGCTCACGGGACGTGTTGTAACCTTCTGTCATGAGACCGTGAACCATTCGCGCCTTTTCAACATTGGTGAGCTGCAACTCCCTGATTGCGATGATCTTGCTTCTTAGAACTCCCATCCCATCATCCGCCGGAAGTAAAGAATGTGTCAATTCCTCCGGATCAAAGGCATTGTCCAAAGATTGTCTAGGCTCACCGATGGATATCGCCGAAGCTGCATATTGTGGCTCATTATGCGAGTTCAGCGCTTCGCTGGGGTGTGAAGCTTGTGAATTCGATGAATTGTCCTGCACGGTGACGCCGATTTCACGTGTGGGTTCAAATGAGCCGTCTGTAGTCGCAGCTACGTTTTGGATGGACCTGAGTGTGTTGTGTGTCACTGATCGAGTGTCCTCCGGTTGCAAGTTTCGGCCATCCATCTCTTTGGGTAGGGTTGTGAAGAAAGGAAGGCTATGCAGGGACCCCGCACCCGCATCTCCGCAGTTCGATTTATGTTCGTGATTTTGGCCCGGCTGAGAAAAAAATTTGTGGTCACTATCACTCGAGGGGTCTGTCGGTTCGTTCAGGTGGAATGTAGCTTGGTCGCTATTTGGTAGGCTGCTCGGTTGGGGTGGTAAGGGGGATCGTATTCCGATTTGGATCAGCAACGAGGAAATGAAACCACTCATGAAGGATTGTAAACCAGCATCTCACTAGATCACTTTTAGATGCTTGAAATCAAGCAAAATCAAACCCAAACTTGGAGCTGAAACAGCAAACATCGTGACATGTGACGTCCACGGGCACCGCCTCCGATGCTGAATCATCGTCACATGCTCTGTCTGGGGCTGGAGCCTGAACCGATTGCACGATTTTTAGTTGGACTCGATTGGACTTGAAATATCAGCGAATATTAGGAAAGAGAATGGACTATCATTTTGGTTTAGAATTTGCTCAGAGTATTCTAGCATGTAGACTTTCCAATCAATGTTGTCTTGCAGAGCCATTATTACGCCCAACAACCAATAATATCTACCAATGAGTCCCAAGTTTGGAGACGAGGATTGGTTCTACGACGTTGTATTGAATGCCAAGGCATGTAGAGTGCCATTGACATAATGTGTTGTACACCATAGGATTGTCCCGAAATACAACGCACGACGCTGACCCAGAGGCAGGACAGGTCATCGTGTCTTACGGAATCCTTGAGATATGTACCGGTGTTCTGATCACGGCAATACCCAGTATGTGCAAGCACCCTTTTTGGGCGAGCTGCCTCGCGTCGATGTGGATTCATGCCCAAGGGAAGCACTGAGGCCTAACGGATGCACAATCTGGCGTAGCGGGTCGGATCAGCACCGAGGGAAAAGTCGAGAACTGAGGAGTTCGAATCATCTGAGACATGTCCCTAGACTCTCATTCAAACGGTCAAGTGTCAAATTGTAATGGTCAAAGGCGCTTGTCCGCAACTGGTTCTCTACATGACCTAGTCCCAGGGATCGTGGACTGAGGCCAAGTTAGCGGTTTTTTTCTCCACTTCTGTTGGGGGGTCACTCACACGCGGGACTCTCTCACAAGGTGACCTTGTTCCCAATATCTAGCTAGCAGAAGGTTCTTCAAGATCTTGTGTTCCATGCCCGCAACCTCGGTAGCTCGTTCGAGAAAACGAAGGGTGTTGTTGATTTTGGCAGGATTAAACTCTTCAGAGGGAGAGGAACGATAGGATTGTCGTAAGGATTTTAGAAGCATATGGCGACCCGGCGTCGAATACTGAATCGCTTTCAACCCCTGTCGATAGAGGTGACGGTATGCGCGGACCATGGCTCGTTGATCCACCTTCATGGTTTGGATTGAAGTGTTCATGTCCGATCTATTGGACAAGTCCGAGCCAACGAATTTACGGCAGATGTGCAATCAGACGGAATCAGGCGGAATCAACGGAGATCCGATGTGTTGAGTGCAAATGTTGGATTGGTATTGGAGGAAAGGAAGAGTAAAAGACGGTCAAAGTTGGGGAAAGGTTGAAGCCTCAGGCAGTACTAGCCTGATCGGGAGAGGTGACTTGGGCCGCAATAGCAATCTTATCAAACCCTCCTCTGTCTCTCTCTGTCTCTTTCTCTCTCCCCCATCTTTCCTCCCAATATTCTCGTTCTTCTTTCTGTCTTTTTTTTCTCTCTTGCTACTTGCTCCTTTTGCTTTTGC